GCTGGTGGTGGGTTTTCAGCTCAGTCCTGGAGCTTGCTGGAATATACCTCAGCCCTGTCCAGAGAAGGCCCCCGGTTCACAGACGTGTACGAAGGGTCCGAACTCCCCAGGGACTTGGGGACAGCCTCCTGTGTGATCTGGGAGTCATGCGTCGTTTCCCCATCCGAACTCCCCATATCCCTGGAAGGGGGTGAAGACAGCCAGAGTTAGAGCAAACCAAAGCCCTGCAGAGGGCTGCAGACTTCATACTTAGACATTACTTTCACAGACAGTATCTTAGACATTCCTTCTAACAGCTGAACTTTCTGCAACACTTACCACGTTCCAGGCCCTGGGGATCAGTAACCAGACCTGGTCCCCAAAAAGGCAAGATTGTATGGGGAGTGTTCCGGATTGAACTGTGCCCCAAAAGTATGTGCCGTAAATCCTAACCCTGGGGGGCAATACACTGTCCTGTAGGGTCATTGTTGAGTCAGAATCGGCTCAATACTTGTGGGAAAGCAGTCCTGGTGGCGCAGTGGTTACAACGCTTGACTATTAACCACAGGAAAAAGGCCTGGCCATCTGCTCCCGTAAAGATTATAGCCTCAGAAACCCTACGGGGCAGATCCGCTCTGTCATGTAGGATCACTATGAGTTGGAATCGACCGTACAGTACACAACCACGTACCTGTGATGCAACCCCATTGGGGAATGGGACTGCCTTTGTTAGGTTCATGAGGCATATCAGTGTAGGGTGTGTTTTAAACCAGTCACTTCTGAGATATGAATACACACACCAGGCACAGAGAAAGAGGAACTAACAAGGGAAGAGCCGTCTGACGACCGCCAAGGAAGGAGGGGCAGAAAGCCACACACAGAAACGCTGCTGCCTTCGCGTCAATTCCAACTTCCAGGGACCCTCGAGGACAGAACAGAACAGCCACATAGGGTTTCCAAGGCTGTAATCTCTACAGAAGCAGACTGCCATGTCTTTCTCCCGTGGAGCGGCTGATAAGTTCAAACTGCCAACCTTTCAGTCAACAGCCCAGCACTTAACCACTGTGCCACCAGAAACAGAAGCTGAAAAGAGACAAGGACCTTCCCTCCAGAGCCCACAGAGAGAGGAAGGCTTCCCCTAGAGCCAACACCCTGAATCAGACTCCTAGCGTCCTGATTGGGAGAAAATAAATTCTGTTTGTTAAAGCCACCCCCTTGCAGTCTGTTATAGCAGCACTAGGAGACCAAGACAAGGGGGACAGACCATGGCAGACAGTGACCACACAGCATGATTGGTGTCCTGACCACCAGGCACGGGGGAGCTAGAGGAAGCCTTCCTGGAAGAGGGGGCAACCAATCTGGGTCCTAAAGGATGAGGGGGAAGGCAGGGCAGAGAGAAGTGGGAAGTTCCAGTCCACTCGGAAGACAGGCCTGGCAATCTGTTGTAAGCAGTCGGCCACTGACAACCCCGCAGAGAGCAGCTCTGCCCTGACACACGCGGGGCTGCCAGGAGCAGAGTCGGCTCTATGGCAACCAGCCTTTGGTTCAATGTCAAGTTAAGTCACTGCCCAAAAGGAGAGACAGAACTATGTCCGTGCTGCTCCCAGGTCCAGAAAGACAGACGGGTCTCTTGGCAGCTAATCTCATCTATTGTTTGTTTTCATTAACTTCAACATGGAACAACCTGCTTTCCAAGCTCACTGCCTGCCCTAGAGTCCAGCTGGGACCAGTCAATGCATCTTTTTCTGCCTGGCGAATTTCCACTGACCCTCTTAATTTCACCTGCTCCAAGCAGCTTTCCTGTCTGCACTCCTCCCATCCCCAACAGGAAATCCTCTTGCCCTTCGGGGTCCCCTCCCTCCCTCTGAGACTCATATCTGCCCTGATGAGTTTGCTCCTGCTGTTCCTTCCTCCAGGAAGCCCACCCTGATGCTCCAGGCAGAGTCCACCCCGCCCTCCTGTGGATTCCCACAGCACCTTCAGGCACTTCTAATCATCACCTGCTCGGACCTCCTGGGTATCAGAAGCTATGTACATACCGGTCACCCACCAGGTAGCCCTTTTAGCTGCTCCTGGACACCCCACAGAGACCTTGAGTCCCAACCCAAAGCAGGCACAAATCAGAAGGTGTCAGTGGACTCAGGAGACCTGTGTGTTAGTCCCAGCTCTGTTTTAACTGGGCATGTGACCTTGGGGCACCCTTCCCCTCTCAGTGTTAGGCCGAAGTAAACCCAAGCCACCAACATTTCAGTTGGCAGCTTCCTCCAGGTGTCAGGACCTGATGAGACAGCCTGATAAGACAACCGAGTGGCAAAACCCGCCTAGGCTGGAAAGTCTCACGTGATGACAACTTCCTCCTGTGAAGCCCCCTCATGCTAATTAGGTGCAGACCTGTGCCAACAGCTAATTGGACCCCGTCATTTCCTTAGTGTCCCCAGTTAGGTCCTCTCTGTGTCTATAAGAACCTATCCCCCCCAGCCCGGGGGTGCGACTTCTCTGGCCTTGATGCTAGGGCACGAGAACCTCGCCCGGGAGTGCTAATAAACTGCTTCTCTGAGACAATCCGTGTCCTGGTCTCTCGGCAACTCTGCACTACACTCAGGACCTCCAACTCCCCATCTGTACTTCAAGACAATGAACTACCATCGTAAAGACAGTGAGGGCTACTGCTTTAATCCTCAGACATTGCCCTTCACACTTTCTAGGGATAAATTTGTTTAATCTTCACAATACCATGGGGTGGCATGGGGCAGTGAATCACTTGGTATGGCTTTTCTACCAGTTTTTGTGACTCCCATTAGATTACTGGGTCAAAAAACAAAAAAATTCACTGCCATTGAGTCAGATCCAACTCATAGCAACTCCGTCTTAGGTTTCTGAGATTAGGTATCACTACAGAAGTAGATTGCCCAAGCTTCCTTCTGAGGAGTGGCTAGTGGGTTTGAACCACCAGCCTTCTGGTTAGCAGTCAAATGCCTTAGGAACTGTGCCACCAGAGCGCCTACCACACAAATAGGTGTATGGAACTCTAATGTGAGGATTGGTTAGTTTTGTCATTGTGCTGGGCTTAACATGAGCCCTCCTAGAGTTAGAAGAAGGGGGATCTCACTGCCATCAGGAAAGAGTAGCCCGAGGGGGAATGGAGTGGAGCAAAGTGCAGCATGTCCTTGCACCCAACATCCATGCAAAGGACCTCCCTGGCAGAGATGCCTGGCAGAGAGACCCGCAGAGAGATGGCAGCCGTGGAAGCAAGAGTCACAAGTGGGGTGCACATAGGGATACCTGTCGGCAAAGCTAAAAGAGCTTTGTAACACTGGCCTGAGCAGGGCAGAGGCCAGGCAGACAGGCTCAGGGCCAGACAGGCCTGCCTGAGGACACAGCAGAGGCGAGACTGTCCTGATCCAAGAATGGTATCCTGAGAGCTTCCTGAACCTGAATTGTAGCCTGTTACTTCCCTAATAAACCTCGTAATTGTGAGTATTGTCTGTGAGTTCTGTGTGGCCATTGCAACGAATTATCAAACCCAGCAGAGAAGCAGTGAGTGCTGTGGGAGGGACCACTGGTGTCAGAGTTTGTGAAGAGGCCAGAGGGTGGCAGCATGTTTGGCCTCATAGGAGTAAGCTTTGGGCTGCTGATGGTGATTGTGTCTTCCCCTTGTGAAGCTGGCAGAGGTCAGAGGATGCCATCTCCCTGCCTTTTTGCAGGTGGGCAGCATGATCCCTATTTTCCAGATGAGAACCTGGGGGCACAGAGAGGGTAAGATACTTGCCCAAGGTTGCACAGCACGTAAATGGCAGAGCTGGGATCTGAATTGCGCAGGCTGCTCACAAATCCCAGGTGCTGAGCCCTTGAGCTTGAAGCTAAACTATGTGGCCTTGAAGGTCCCCCTGTTCTGAGACCCCAGGATGCTGCTCCCCTTGCGTCAGACTCCAGCACACCCCCCCCCCGGGGCTCTCCCCGCCTCCGGAAGTCCCTGGGGCGGAGCATCCCGGGTCTACGGCCCCCTTCCAGCTGGCGGTACTCACACGAAGCTCAGGATGATGGCGCCCGCGAACCCCACGAGCAGGAAGAAGGGCAGGGAGCCCAAGATGGACGTGATGACGATCATGCCTCCGCTCCGCCGGCCTGGCCACGTGTCGATCGCCGAGTACGGGATGACTGCGTGGGACCAGCAGGCCAGTTACTCCCCCGGGGTGCGGCAGGCCTCCCCGCCGGGAGCCCGAGATAACCCTGCACCCAGCTCTGCGTCTCATCCCACGTGTAGGTGTAATTATCACGCTTGCCCCCCATCCCGGTATCCCACTTCCGGCTTTCTCCTGTGAGTTTCCGGGTCTCTCTCTGTACCTGCCTTCTTGCATAAATTTACATCGCAAGGACTCAGGCCTTCTGTTCAGATGGTGGGAATGGGTTATAAACCCCAGAAATAAAGAGGGGGCAAAGGACCCCGTGAAGTGAGGCCAGGTGGGGCCCTGGGCTCTCACTTGACTCTGACCAGTGTCACCTTTTGGTGACCATGCGAACAGTTTGTAGGTCGTCCTGTGAGTGGACACTTGGGGGCATCATTCCAGGCAGACCCACAGAGACTGCACTTGGCCTCTGTTCCCTGCTAGGGAGGTGAGTCCCTGTCCAAGGACACACTGAGCACAGACTCAGGCTGGGTCTGTCTGGCCCCAGAGGCCACACACCCTCTCCACAGACAGGCCTTCAGTCCTATGGCAAGAGCCCCATGCATCTGCCTGGAGTCCCTGCCAGGAAAAGACTCTTCTCTCCACTTCTCAGATGAGGTAACAGACCCACAAGGGCTCACCCAGGGGCAGAGGGGTAGAGGCTGAACTTGAACTTGGGACCCTGGGACACAGGGTAGTGCTCTTTCAGTGGGGTCACAAAGTCACCACAAGGAATGCCATGGTGGGGGGGTGGTCTGGGAGCAGCAGTGGCTGGGGAGTCACTCCAGATATACACACACACCACACACGTATGTACACACAGCACACACATGCCACACATATACACCACACACATGAATACATACATATACATGCCATGTATACACATACATGCAATATGCACACCACACACATCATACACATGCACACCCAGACACATACCTGTGTGCATGCATATATACACACCACACACACCACACATACACACTCACGCACCTGAGTACATACATATACACATCACACATGCACTCAGACACACACTTGTGTACACACACAGACACCACACACTCACATACACAGAAATACAGCTGTGTGCACATAGTCAAACAGGCACAAGCACACATGCATGCACGTACATGTACACACCCACACATACACCCACACACAAATACATACCACATGGTCATACACATGTACACATGGAAATATACATGCAGGCGCACACATGCACATGAATAGGGACACACGTTTGTACACGTGCCACACACATGTACACACAGATGTGTACCTGCATCTACACACACATATACACAGCATGCACATATACACAGCACACACACACACCCTCTATGCTGCTCTCTAGCTGTGTGACCACGGGCAGCCCCCACAGGCCCCGTAAGCTAACGAGGATGACAAAGAGGCATTACAGGTAAAATGCCCGGTCCTGTGCTGGTACCAACCTCCCACAGCCAGTCCTGGGGGCAGAGGTGTGGTGGGAGGGGCAGTTCTGAAGTCGGGATCACATGGTCAAGAACGCTTTGGGCATTCCTGTTGTGGCCCCTGCCCCTCAGGAGCCATGACCATGTGTGCAGGCCTGAGGAAGGCACAGGCAGGCTCTAGGCAGATACCAGGCCTCCCACCCCACCATGCGGGCTCCAGTGGGTGGAAAAGCGGGTGAGCTCCTCTGCCACCAGCGCC